ATAAAAAAGACGTTGAGCATCTGTTGCGAGCCAAGTGCGGCCTAGTGATCGACTGCAGCAAGCTAAACCAGGATTCACCCCCTACCCCCTTTCTCAAAAGAGCAAGACTTGACTATAACACTGACATAGATAAACGGCGGGTTATCGCCTCAAATGTGATGGGTGATTAACCATGGGGGACAACTTCAGTCAGCTAATCTTTTTTGTTCTTTTCCTACATTCTTCAGGGTGAATTTAATGGCATACTTTGCGGGATTAGGGGCTTCTTAGATTCATGTGCTACCGGTGATGTGATCGATACCTTTTCCTTGTTTACCCGACTGAATAAGTCGTTCCTATGCCTGGAAGACGAGGTTTTGATGGCCAAGTCGTAACTGTTGTTCGGCAAATGCTTTAATGCCGACTTTAACTAGCTTTCTGCATCACCTTTGTGTCCTTTTTTCATGAGAGCAGCATTATTTATTCTGAAAGACCCTTGAAATCCTCGATGATACGAGGCTGTTAAGCTCAAACCCTTCTTTTGGTCTTTCCCATTCCGTCTGCCGCACTGTTTTGGTTGGATTGCTCCGACCTAGTATCACCAGGCTCTGCAAGTGCGACCGAGTCCAACAAAAAACTACTCCTTGTCCGAGGGAAGGTTCCGTAATTTTGTCAGTCTGAAATCTGAAAGTGATCAGAATAGAATGCACGGGGGCCAGCCTGTCCTGATGACCTTTCTATTCCCACTGGAAATTGAAATTGTGGCTTTACTCTGAGTAGGTTGCACTTCGTAGCTACACTCACAGTGAAGGTCCAATGCAATGACACATACCCACACTGGCCACGGGACCGCAACGCGAGGCAGCGGCGGTGCGCAACTCGCACGTGCTCCCAACTCTCTGCTAAAGGTTGTCAGCTGATCAAAAAGGAACACGTGGTAGTGTTTTATGATCGAGTCGTTTTCGGTTTTTCTATCTGTAAGTCGCTCAAAATATGCAAAAAGTTATCGTCTGGGTCTCACTTTTTGTTGTGGAGTAGCTCGCTCTCTCTGTCCTCAAATCCTCGTACGGCAGAAGCCCCCTCGAAAGAACTAGATCGAAGGGCTGCTTTCACAGGAAAGGGTTGGGAAAGAGGGCGGTAGGATCGGTTTTGTGTAATTGATTCGCCGCGCGCGGTAGTCGCGAACCGTTTGCCTCGCTACTGCAGTTCTAGCGATCTTCATACAGCTCCGTTGTTATGCAATTATTATTTTTGGCATGATTCTAATGTCAGTTTTTCTGTTCCTGTATTCCTTACTTGCTGCTGCATTCTGTTACATTTCTTCGCGCGCGGCGTCTCTCGCCGCAACGCGACAATTTCGGTCCTTCTGCATCACACCCGGAAAAGTTGCTTGATTGCGGATGAGCAATCAAAGGCGGGGCTAGAAAATGAATCTCAGGGAATCCATTTCAGTTGTAAACCTATCATTTCCTATTCCCGACTAGTGTTTTTTGAGCTTTCTCGTTCTGACCCGAGTTCGTCCTTTTCCTGTTACTTGTTGAAAAGAACAATCACAAGCACTTTCCAGTCTAGTTCACCTAAGTGAGCATCTCGCGACCACTGACGCTCACTGGAAATGTGACTTGCACCTCAACTTTTCAGTTCATATTCGCGTATTTCTCAGTCATTAAAACTGCTTACAGTCTGTACTCCTTTAATGCTAATGCCTTATTAGGGATTTGGATGAAATGATCTTGTTGATCATATCCATCGAAAGTACTCTACCAGCTGCTTTGGCGAGTCCTTCTACTTTCAAATGCAAGCATGGAGCGATGATCGTAAAGGGCAGTACTACAGGATCACCCAGTACTCATCATACTCCTTTTTCCCCCTTCCATACTCAAAAGCGACCAAGTATGGGCTTTTGGGCC